CATTGCCTCCTTCCTAGAGCAGAGCCCAGCTGGTGAGCGCAGGAGGTGGGGTTTCCGTTGTTTCGCACCTTTTTTGGGCATGCGTGGCTTCCGCGTTACTGGCAACTGGTCCCGTCTCCCGTGCAAGCACCGTCAGCATTTTTCCCACTGGGGTGAGAGTACCCATTTATCTACTCATGTAAGTTTTCGAGTTGCTGGGTTGGCAGGAGCTGGGGAGGAAGCAGGAGCTCACTCTGCTGCGCGGAGCTGGGCTCGAACCACTGAAGTGTCGACCATTTCTGGCCGGCAACTTTCAGCGTCATTAAGCCGCTGCGCCACCGCATCCCCTGTCAGAGCTGATAAAACGTTAATATTTTGAGGGGATGTTCTTTTGATTTTGATGCTTACCATCCAAAAGCCTTTACTCTTCTTACTGAATGTTGTTATTCTGCAAAAGTTAAATTCACAGGTTGCAGAATCAACTAAACAGGCAGCCTAATTTGGAGTCAAGTGTAGAAGTAGGAATTTCCATCACAGCCATACTTTTCCATCAATTTAAAGACTGTAGATCAGGGACAAGACCATAACTCTCAATAATTATCAGTGCCTAGCTCTGCTATAGGAACAACTTTTACAATGGATTTGCCTTGATAATACCAAATTCTGTTCTTTAATATGCAAGCAAGGTTTAAAGGAGAAGAGTTAAAATTAATTTAAATAGCTTACCTGATGAAAGCAGCTTTCTGCAACAGTCTGAAAATCCACTTAATGCTGCCAAATGGAGAGGAAACATTCCATGTATACCCCGCCTAAGATACACCATAATCAGACATCACGGTCTCATTACAATAGATATATTGCAAGATGTCATGCCAAACTCCATTTTTTATGGACATATTTAATTGCCTTTCCTAGAGTGAAAATCTCCTAATACATTTAAACTTGACTGTTCAATCAAGATAGAGTTTCCTGTCAGAATGATAGTCAATTAAATTTGAGCCCTATGTAAATACTTTTTTGGTATAATTTGGAGGGATATCATATTAGATTGCATATAAACAGGCTGGATTTAAAAAATAATTATGAACTCTATTCATCATATAATATTCAAACTAGTAAGTTATCTGGAAATTGCTATGTAAAATGTTTTCTATTGTAAACAATCATATTTCACTAGATATGGACTGGGTATTTTGTATCTTTTCAAGTGCCACTTTACCTAGACAAATTTGCTGGCTTTTATGCAGAATACTATATTATATTTTAATGAGACTCTTGCTTATGTTCTAAAATAGGACTTTATAACTTGTACCACTGTATTACTGAGGCACTAAAATTAATTAAGGTGTCGCTTATCGCTCATAACCTTCCGGATTAACATGCATTTTAGGTATGTGCAAAACCCTTGTTCTATTTCCCTTCTAGATCATGATGAACCTCTTTCTGACCATGCCACTGAAATTGCCAGACATCCCCAGGCTAAAATGGTCCAGAAGAAGTTTATTATGAAGAAGTTCATAGAAAGTTCCATTCCTGAATCCATCAGTTTTGCAACTTTTGCATACCCATAATATTCTACATTTGGACATAATTAAAAATTTTAAATACTGCTTACTTTGCTGTATCAGCACCACTTGTAATCAGTGTGTTGATGAGCAGTTCATGGCCATATCTGGCTGCTATGTGCAATGGTGTATTTCCATTCTTATCTTCACAGTCTATTTCAGCTCCTGAATATTAAATCAATATAAAGTATAGCTGCATAAGCATATAAATGGTTAAATAAATGAATTCACATTTGAAAACGTGTTATCAGGGATTTTCAAATGGTGAAGCTAAGAATAAATTCTATGAACAGTGCAGCTGTATAACTAATAGCTATTTTTCATGTTTGAAAAAGAAAAAAAGTTAAAAAACAAAGAGAATACACAATAACATCAACTGTTGTTTCCTCCTATGCAATATGGATAACAAGACCCAAATATATTTTGCAATGAGAATATTTTAACGTTTTTCGCAAGTAGAAAATTGTTCTATGATTTAAACACACACTAATTTAAATGTGTATTTTATTCTTGTGACCATAGGGTGATATATGTTAGTTTCACTGTTCCAGATACTAGTACTTTGTGAAAATAATACTGTCAGCAAATTTGTACCACAATTCACCAGATTGAAATGAGATGACAAAATCTCATCTCACAAGCAGATGTCTTCACTATTTATGGAATTTATTCATTAAAAATTCACTATTTGTGAAACTAAAAATTCTAAGGCAATGAGCAATGTCGAAGAAAAACTATAACAGAACTTGGACTACTCAAGCACTGGAGCATAGTGGAATTTCAGGTTTCTGAATAAGAGAAAGAATATCCTATATATATTATAATCTGAAGTCTGTTTTTAAAATGTTCAGATTCACATAAATAGTAATTTGGGCAGAACAGAGGCTAAAGAAAATACTAATAAATTAATTATTCCAAATTATTCTGAACCATAATACAGTCAAAATGACATTACTAATACTACATTTTTTAAATTTTACCATTGTGGATGATGGTTTGTGATCTTGAAAATCTTCCATGAATAGCTGTCATATGTAATGGTGTTTTTCCATCTTTACTCTGGGGAAAAAGAAATCAACCCATGGCTATCAAGACCATTACCAAGATTAAATAGAGAATTTGCTGTTTATTTTTCTTTCCTGTTCATATTACTTTTCATTACAAGAATATACCCATAATGGCAAGTCAAAACAACACTATAGACTTTTCAAGATGACCATTCTGTTATTTTTACTAATCATTATTACAGCTACATGGGACAAAAAAAAAAAAAAAAAAGATTTTTTTTTCTTTTTGTGCCATTGGTGTCTAGATAATGACAGCAGGCAGGCTGCATACAAAAAAATACACAAATCTTGTCCATAGAGAGTAAATAAGTATTTATGCATATTCACTTGCCCTTTTGGTTTTAAATATAAGACTGTAAATAATGTAGTACAAAGGGCATCTAAAACCTTATGCAATTATTAAATTCTTGAAGATACTACATACATGAGATAAAACCTTATCCTTAAAAATCTATTTTAGAAACACCAATCTTAATACATAAGGATATTTTTATTTTTTTAAGAACATTTATCATATATTTATAATCTGCAATCAAAATTAACTATGCTAAACTTCAGGAAATATTTTCATATGCGTACTACCGGTCTATTATTATAAATCGTATCCTTATGTGCTTTTAAAATTTTTAATTTAGTAAACTGTAAGCATCATGAATCATTATCCTATAGTTAGTAATAATGTAGTTAACGATGTTAACTATATTGATTCATATATAGTTTCAAGACTATAGACCAATTTTTCTCCTGTGTTATACACTGTATCCCTCATCATCTTAGAAAAAGAGGAATAGTTCTAGATATGTTAAAAAGTGATGATGAGATGTAGTACCCATACATATTTTACTTTTAGTATGATCATAGTATCTCCACTGCCAGGTAAGTACATATTTCTTCGTGTCTATAAGTAAACATTACAAAGTTTAAAAAGCAGTAAAATATTATTTATCATTTAATATCTTTACTGCTAAGATACTGAGATCTCAGCCACTTTTTCATTCATTTTCTTACAAAAGAAAGTTTAAGTTCGATGATTTTGCATCACATATTTATCTTTTTTAGCAATATTCTCAGATACACATTTTTAAAGTGTTCAAAGTTGCTTATTATTATTTTTCACTGTATTTAGCCATATACGGAAAAGGAAGCTTTCTATATTTTTCTTTTTAATCTCTGTGATCATCAAGCATACATTTTTCAAACTTTGGATTAAGACAAGATCTCACAAACAACTAAATGTATTGCTATTTCATTGACAAACTGCTGACAGCCTAACAAAACTATTGCTGTTTCTTTAATTTAGTGAGTCACAGAAAGAAGCCTGGTAACTAACAGATGAGTATAATCCTGAGATATTTCCTAAGTATTCCCACAATAAAATGCATTTGTTGAGCATTAAAAGTGAATGTTTTATTTTCAATTACTTTTAAGGATGATGTCAACATTAATATATAAAGATATTCAAAATATTATTACAGCATTTAAAATTCACCTTTCAGTTATTTTACCTTCACATTTACATCTGCACCATTACAAACCAGAATCTCTAAACATAATGCTCCATGAGTTGATGTAGCAGCAAAGTGTAAAGGTGTAAATCCCTTCTCATTCATTTGATTTACATTAGCACCACGGTCTATCAGTTCATTTACTACAATATCTTGTCCATTGAAGCAAGCAATATGAAGAGGTGTATTACCATATGCATTTGGTTCATTCATCTGTTAATAAAGAAAAGAAGTGATGTAAATTTCATTAAAGCCTTATATCCATCCATCCATCCATCCATCCATCCATCCATCCATCCATCTAAATTATTTTTATTCCATCACAGCAGAATTCATACTCAAAGAGTTTTAGAAATCACAATGTTTCTTTTATTCAACCCCCCCCCCCACAGAATTTGAATTTAAACAGCTAAGTCAAAATTACACAGAGGACAATTTAATCCCTTCCAATATATCTCAGATTCTCAGGAATAAAAAAAACTATGGCCTGTCAGTGCAGACCACACTGGGATAGGCCATAGTATCACTGAATAAAATATATTTTAGATATGTTCATTTGAAGTGATAAGTCAAGGACATTCCTCCAAATTCTGATGGAGGAATTTAAGGTTTAAAACAATTAGTAATTGAAAGTTCATATGAAAAAGGCAAAAATACAGAAAATAAAGATACCTTTATGATTGATATGGCATTTTTAAATTTTTCATTTTGCATTTTTTCCACTGTCATGTTTGTTTTAGGTTTGTGAGATGATGAGCAAAGCTTGTCATTTTTTCAGTATTCTGAAAGGTGCTTAGTTGTAGCTGCTGTGTAAATTATCTTTATTACTTTTATAAATTCACTGTCATGAGAATACTTATGGCTTATACTGAAGACCATATAATGGTTTTAGAGAATGATGATCGCTAAACACTGTTTCTGAAAGAATTAGACTCTCAGGATATTGCTTGAAATACAAGTCTAAGAAAACAGACTACAATCTATCAAGTGACATTTAAAAAATAAATCTGAAATGTTAGCAGGTTTACTCTTATACAAAATACTAGCTATTTATAAACACATATTATGACAGTATTATTATTCCTAGGAAATTATCTAATTAATGAAATAATGTGATTTAGGGTCATTTGTACTCACATCAACCCCAAGATCAAGAAGGTACTTGACTACATTAATCATATCAGCAGATGCTGCAGCATGTAATGGTGTATATGATTTCTTGTCTTTACATGTCACTTCCGCTCCGTGGGATACAAGCAGTTTTACCACATCAATATAACCTCAACAAATAAAATAAAATAAATTTCATTCATTCATTTCATATGACTACCCATCTCAAATTCATGACTCTGGACAACAACAGTTCAAAACACCACAAAACACATAACAACAACAACAACAAAGCCACACATAATCAGCAGCTGAGGAAAAAACAGAACTACACAAATCAGTATAACCATTGCATAGGCTCTGCCACATCTCCGGATCCCCAAGTTCAGTGACAAAACCATGTCTTTAAGGATTTGTGAAAGGCCAGCTTTGCGGGGGTGGGGAGATGTTTCAATGGGTAGACACCAAAACAAAAAAGGTTCTCTTCTTGGGCCCCATTAGATGGCACTCCCTAATAGACAGGACTCAGAACATGCCTTTCCCACTGGACCTAATGGAATGAGTAAACATAATCAGAGAGAGGTGGTCCCTCAAATAACCCAGTCCCATGTCATGAAGGGCTTTATAGGACATTACAGCACCTTGAATTAAGCCCGGAAGCATACTGGTAGCTAATGCAGTTTGTCAATCAGAGGACAATATGCTGACTGAGGAGCACGCATACCTGCCTGCACCGCTACATTCTGTACTAGCTGCAGCTTCTGGATGTTCTTCAAATGCAGCCCCATGTAAAGTGCATTGCAGTAGCCCATTTAGGAGATGACCATGGCATGAGTGACCATGAGCAGAGCCTCTGGTCCAGGAATGGCTACAAATGGTGCACAACATGAAGTTGTGCTTCAAACTGTGCACTGGTTCTGTCTGGGGTAGTGCAATCCCATCCAGAGGTTCAGTCCCTGGAATGAGGGAGCCCTAATAATCAAAACTACTTAATCTTGCTAGGGTTGAGTTGAAACCTGTTCTTCAAGCTTTTGAAAAGCTTTAATTTCTAGACTGATCAGTTTTAATACTTACATGTAGATATTTTTTTAAAAGCTTGTTACAGTTCTGATGATGTAATAGGTAATAGCAAAAGAACATATTAAAAATGCCTTTTCTTTCTAGTAATCCTTACAGTATAAATTATTACCTTTAAATATTTAACAAATTGTAACTGTATCAGAGGCATATAGTTAAAGTTTTTTAAGTTCATAGAGAGAGAACCCTAACTTATTAGATCAATATGTGCTTTTCTGTTGTAACAGAATCTCATTATTTTAAATTAGGTGATTTTTACAATACTGGTAGAGCGGTAAATTTTCATCTATACCAAGAAAGAAATATACTGGATTTATGCCCCCAAATATCCATTCAAACTTCATGCAAATTATGCAGAAAGAAAATAGCATGTAAAAGCCTGTTTTAAAGGAAATCAAGGGAGAAGAAAAAAGTTAATTCACATACCCATGTAGGCTGCCCAGTGGACAGCCCGTCTATCTTTCTTGTCAAAGGCATTGATATTGGCACCTCTAGACAATAATAAACTGACCATCTAGAATGAAGAGAGTTATATTTCTTAATATACAGAACTATTTGTGTGAAATCAAAATCTTCAATACCTGTGTAACATTTTTCAAAACAATAACATTTTCTTTATAACAAATCAAAAATGTCACCACTTGTATAATAATTAAACTCATTTAAAATGTATTTTAAATCTGAAGATGTCATCCCTTCAAGGTAAGACAAGTCAGGAACAGAATCTTGAAACCTATCAGTTTCCATCTGCCCCCTCTTATTCCAAACAGAATTAAGTTAGGGTTATCTTGAGTTTCTTTCTCACTCCTTCCTTATCAGGCTACGTTGATGTATATTTAATAGCTTTTGTACTCCTTCTTCAAAGTTATCTCCATATTCTTCTACAGAAGCCAAAGCTCGTGCTAAGCTTTAGCAAACAGATAGATTAATTTTAGATTTTCATTGAAATATTAGTTTTATTAAGAGCAATACAATGTAATTTCTGGAATCCTGAACAAAGTCATAAAAATAGGGGTACACACAAAAGTTTCCAATCTAACACTGCATCTTACATGAAAGATAGGCCTGAATCTGTTTAATCAAGCCACAAGAAAAATGTAATTATTTGTCCATAGCCTTTGTTAACTAATTTCAAGTACAGGTAGTTCTTGTTTAACTATGCTAATTGATCTGGAAACTCTGTCATTAAGCAACATGGTTGTTAAGTCAAAAAACCATGTGACTCTGCTGCTTAGCAATGGCAGTTCTGGCAGTCCCAGTGCCATTGTTAATGAGTGAGGACAGCATGGGCTGTTAAGCAAGTAGCTCATGTGACTATGACTTCCAATTTCCTGCCAGCTTCCCCATTGACTTTGCTTGTGGGAAGCCATCAGGGAGGGTCTCAAATAATGAACATGTTACCACAGAACACAGTGATGGCTGTAAGTATGAGACTGGTTGTAACTACCACTCGTTCAGAGCCACTCTAAGTTTGAATCATCGCTGAACAAGTGGTCATTAAACGACAACCTGTAGTAAGAAAACGATGGGGCCTAAGTGCATATAAAGCAGAACACTGCTGAATCTTTGCTTCTCTGGAATTGGACAGTGTCTCATAGGAGATTTGTTTAATAATTTACTTCCTTGAGTTCTACAATGGAGTAACATCAACAGACTAAAAATTAAAAAATAAAGGGAAAGGAACTTTTTAACACGCTAGCCACATGGTATAACCAATTTTTGCCTATCATATTTCAATTTTAAAATGTTCTGTTATTTCCTTTACATGTAGCAGTGAGATCAGATAAATGAACACCTGCTTGCAGGTAGACAACTGATTTGGGGAACTGAAAAGAAGTCATTTATACCTGAACTTGTCCACTCAACGCTGCATGGTGTAATGCCGTTCTACCAGCACGATCTGACACATTTACATTACTGAGTAGTGGCACCAAGGCTTCTGCACACTTGACAGCCTTCTTTGTAGCTGCTATGTGTAATGGTGTTTGCCAGTTTTTGTCACGGGCATTGACATCAGCTGAATGCTTCAACAACACCTGCACAGCATCCTAAAAAATAACTCACACCATTATATGATAAAATTACTAAAGATCTCCTCACTCTCAACATTTCCTTAAACTAAAAACCAAGACATCCCTAAAATCTGACTTAACTCAATGGGGAAGAAGAGGCCAATGAAAAGTTATATAAAATAGTTTGTGATTGATTCCTAATACTCCGGGTTACCTTTGACAAATTTTATATTCTGGAATCATGCTAGTAAAAACAATATGAGAAAAACACAGTATAAAAAGGAAAAGGAGATCAACTTCCGTAACTACCAAGCCAAAAGAAAAAAAATCAATATATGATGTGGCTTTTGGTTTTCAAGGCATACCAGCTCACACTTACAAAAGTCCTAGTTTTGATGGGCCCTTAAGAAGAAAAATCCATATAAATGTAAAGTAATCATGGTGTCTAGGTACATGGATGAATGTTTTCACATAGGCAATTGTCAGATTTATTTGCTTCTTATCACATCTTACATTTTGGCAAGCTCCTACTGGGCTACACATGCTCACCTCCACAACATGTTGTTTTTTTGACAGTAGCTGCTAATTATTTTCACAGCAAAGCAAATGTTATCATTCCTACTACATTTTATGGAAGCATTCCTATCTGACTTGTGGTTGCAGCATATATTAGGTGAGCCAGAAGGATATGCATCAGTGCTTGGGTATAATGAGTTGCCTTGCTATTGTGTAGTGCTGATAAATACCATCTCTCTCCCCAACTCTTTGAGTTTCCATTCATGAATCATAGTGAGGTGCCTTTTCATTAGCTAAATAATGCAGTAAGAAACAGAGACCCAGTTGAAATTCACAATTCCTATTGAATGACATCTACTGAGTATTACACTTAGTTATACATATAATTAGTAACAGATAGCCCCATAGGGAAAGTGTAATATTTGAGAGGACTTAATTGTTTGCATTCTCTGTTAAATTCAATTAATATTTACTTAACAAAAGCTATTTTGACAGCTTAATGTAGCACTGGCACTGGACTACCTTGATTATCTCTTCCCCATTACATCCTCTTATTCCAACCATCCTTCCTGTCATGCCTGTGATATCTCACCTAATAGAAACTTTTACCAGCATCATAAGAGCATGATGTTATATATCAAATCCACGTAACATGCAATTGTGCCAGTGTGAGTAATACTAATCCTTGTCCAAGTGCTATAAATTAAGGATTACACTACAAAGGTATTTTGAAATAAAATATATTAAGTGGTTTAAAAAAAAAAAACTTTCCATACCTCACTACGTGTTGCAACAGCTCTGTGTAAAGGAGTTAACCACTTGCTGTCTTTGGCATTAACTCTAGCTCCTGCAAATAGATACACAGAAATAAAAAAGCAATATTAAACTCATACAAAGTATTTTTAAAAAGAAATAATAAAAGTATTAAACGTTGCTAATTAGTGATTGTATACTTTAATTAAAATTTTTCTGCAAACTGAAGTTTATGTTCCTCCTTTAGAAGATTTAACTTAATTTAGCTTAGCTTAGTTTAATTAATTTAATTTAGTTTAGCTTCCCAAATCATTCAGTGAGGAAAAGAGTGGCACAAGATTTACATGAGATAATATGCTTATTATTTAAGATGTCAGGCTCCCTGACTAATGTGAAAATTCTCTAACTTAATTAATAATTATAAAATTTAAAATTATCTCTTTTAAAAATTATATACTATCCGTATCCTGCTAATTTACAGTATTATCTTTCAGGAAGTGAAGTTCCAAAACAATTACATGGATCATTACAGATTACAATTCAAAACTGTAATCCTATGTAATCTTACCTAGAAATAAGCTCCACTGAACACAGTGAGACTAGTTTCCAAGTAACATTCATAGGATTACACTGCAAGAAGTGGAAGATGCAGAGCTTCCAATAAACTACATCCTTAGAACAAAAGGAAAAAGAAGAGAGATTTTAGAGGAAGAGCAATAAGCTGTCCAGGTTTATTTCTACCCACATTAAACTATTATGTTAATGGAAGAAATAGTAGCAAGAGGATTACTAATTCCCTTCCAGATTTCTATTTAAAAATCACATTGATAATAATTAGGATATTAACTGAGCTGTATCCTCAGGGGAATACAAATAACATTTGCAAAGCAAGTTTTTAAAAGGACTAATTGGATCAAAGCAAAACAAATGCATGCATTACTGTTAAAGAAACATTAGAATGTGAGATACGTGGATAAAATGGTATGTTTTCAAATCAATCAATCAATCTGAGGTGTCTTCAGAAAAAGGTAAGCAAAGCCATTTCCTCATTAGGCATCTGTTCTAAGACAGACTTCTGCCTCTTTTCAAAGTTGCAGTACTACTTAAAATTAAATATCATGCTTTGCTTGTCATTTAATTATTTAATCATCTTAAACTGAACTGCCAGAAGTTATGATATAAAGTATGTGCTCTACTCACTGAGCTATAGTTCCTCTTTTAGCATAATCACTGAAAAAAAATATGTGAACTTGCCTAATGTTTTCCCATTTTGCCAGCAATACCCCAAGTTCCCCAACCAAAAACAGTTTATAAATCTCACATTTTCATGTATGAAAAATATTTCAAAATACTGCCATTCCAATGTTATAATTTAGCATATAGGTTAGGTCTTCCTAAATACTTATTTCTAACCATTGTTCTTAATAGGCTTATGCATAATACCTGCCATTTCTTTCCTCTATAAAATTGACACTAGTTTTCTTAATACTTTTTCTGCAGATCAAACTTTTTCTGTTTCCTGCTTTAAAAGGAATATTTTCATTAAAAACCTGGTTTCTATGTGATTTTTTAAATCGCAGAAACAATATAATTGCCAGAAATGTAATACCTACTGGCAGTCACATCTCTTTAAAAATAGATGTTCAGAAAGTTGACTTTTGGTTTGTATTAAACAGTTAAAATATAAAATTAGACTATAAATATTTCTTACTATGTTTGCAAGATTTGTGAAATATTTTCCATATGAAGAGCTTGACTAATATAGCTTGACTATAAGCAAGAAAACATCATACCAGATAAAATAAGTAGCTCAATAATTTCTGCATCTCCAAAATATGCAGCAGCATGTAAAGGGGTCCGCTTTTCATTATCCTTTATTAAGAGAAGAGAAATATTAATCATTAGCATCCTCATTCATAAAATGTATTACAATTTAAAATTCTGACATAGAATGCTTGCTTTTAAATTTTTTATTTAAACTTGAAAATATAAAATGACACAATAAAACCCATGTAAACTAAAATTACACAGGAGAAAATATATTTTAAAACCCATATAGATGTATATATAAATACATTTATAATCTTCAAGATATAATTTATTTAAATTGTATGTTTTAATTCAATTAGACTTTAAAACTTTTCTTTAAATGTTTTGCAAAAAAAAATAGCATTGTTCAAAGAAATAATTATGATTTGGCCAATTCTACTTATTTATTCTGGAGATGATTCATAAGTTGAAAAACCTAAATAAGTGACCTCATTCTAAAAATAAAATGATAAATAAAGCACTGACTGGATAAACAAGATTATTAGTATAATTTAAAAGGTGGTGATGGCAATAATAATAATACTAATAATCTTTCAAACATCTTCAATGATAAATTGAAATGGAGGTTATTCAGATCCTAAGGAAGCATTTATTTTATTTTTATTTAAAAGACTTGTATGGCTGCCCATCTTAAGCAACTCTGGGCGGCTCACAAGAGCAATAAAACCAGTAAGTATAAAACATAACCATAAAACAATAAAACAGTAAAATGATCAAACAAAAACCAAAACCCTGAGCCTTAATCATCCCCTTAGAATGCCTCGCAGCATGCTCCAATTACCCTCATTCCATTCTTTCTATTCTATTCTATCCTATCCCAGTGCCTCAGTAAAAGCCAGAACTGGATGGCCTTCCAAAAGGCTAAAAGGGTGGGGGCCTGCCAAATTGCCGGGGAAACAGTAGGGGCAGCCACAGAAAAGTCACACTTCCAAGGTCCCACCAGGTGTCAGGATTTCAGGGAAGGGATCTGGAATGTGCCTATCCTATCCGATCTAGTAGGATGGGCAGAGGGAAAGGTGGTCCCGCAAATAACCAGGTCCTGTACCTTGTAGGGCTTTAAAGGTGATAAGCAGCACCTTGAATTGCACCCAGAAGGAAACTGGGAGCCAGTGCAACTCACCCCAAAGAGCTATAGCAAACCCATGAACATCCAATACTGTGCAAGCATGGCATTCTGGACCAGTTGTAACTTCCGAGTGGTCTTCAAGAGCAGCCCCATGTAAAGTACACTGCAGTAATCCAAACGGGAACTAAGGCATGAGTGACCGTGAGCAAGGCCTCCTGGTCCAGGAAAGGGCACAACTGGCATACAAGATGGATCTGTGCAAAGGCCCCTAGCTACGGCTGCCACCTGCATAACAAGCAAGAGCTGTGAGTCCAGGAGGACCCCCAAATTGTGCACAATTTGGTCCGGGGGAGTGTAACCCCATCCAGAGTCAAAGATGACAGGTCACCAGACCCTGTGGGGCCAAAAAACCAGAACCATTCCGTCTTGCTAAGATTGAACCGAAGTTGGTTCCTCTCCATCAGGACCCTTACAGCTTCCAGGCACTTGGACAGCACTGCAACAGCATTATCTGCCCAGATTATAACAGACGTATAGCTGGGTATCATCAGTGTACTGTTGCTGCTCACTCTGCCATGCGGCTGCACCCTCCAAAGTCCATTCCAGGAGCAAAGACAGCTGATCCACAGTGCTGCTGAGTTCCGCTGCCTACCACCCGATCACCAAGGAGCCTCTGCAATGGAGGGGCCACTGCCCAACATAGTCCCACTCAGCTGCCACCTAGGGAAATATCAACAGGGCTCCACTGACTCCTTCCAGCTGCTTGGTCCACTGCCACCGCGCCAGCTGCCTCCACTGCTGTTGCTCTTCCTGTTCCTCCTGCTGGCCCAGGTAGTTGGTACTAATGTTGCTGGCTATCAAACCTACCAGGACTACCAAACACCTCCATACACCATCCACATCATACTCAAAATTCCCAACAAAGTGAGCCTACCAAACAGGCATCCACCTTGGCATCTGTTCAAAAGCATAAGCTGGAAAACATGGCATAAATGTGCCCCAGAGAGAATTTGTGAAGAGATGCACACCTATGCACATCATTAAGATGTTTTGCAATGCTTCAGAACAGATGCAACAGAGGCAGGATAAGGATTGGCAAGGGAGGGGGAGAGCAAATTTTACAATGCCAACTCAAGGATAGGTAGGTAGCACTTAAAAGGCCCTGCATCAAACAAGTGCCATGGAAGAACAGCCTTGTCTCCAATGTGTGTGGGGAAGCCTTATTTATTTCTTCTCAATCTGCAGCTTTCATGCATTTCAGTATTTCACAGCTTGATTGTTGTATTTCACAGCAATATGTGAAGTATGTGTTTGCTTCCTTGGAATTAAGATTACCATCCCATTTTTTATTAAAAATTAATCTGAAAGATTTCTGATTGAATAATTGTTTTACATAGTATTACCAAAATGAAATCTACATACAGAGTACTGGACTGAACTACATTCAGATTATATCAAACAAGAATACACTTTTACTAGAATTAATTATCAACTCTTCCTCACTAGTAAATAAATTTGATTTAAATTTGATTTAAATAATTAAATTAAGAACAGCATTTTAGTAACCAAGTCAAAATGTTATCCATTGTATCAAACAAAAAAAATGATAAAAAGGAAATCATAAATTGTGATAATGCTGAAAAATGGTAGCACTGAAGGTATGGATGTTGTAACTGGAGAAATGTTGAAGGATGTATGTGGTTTGTTTGTGAAGTAGATGTGAAATTGGTTGCACATATGTGTGAAGACATCTGTGCCTGATGAGTGGAAGTATATTAATACTGTTCTTCTATACACAGGAAAAGGTAGCAAAGGGGAAGGCAAAAACCGCAGAAGGATTAGTTTCAAGGTATTTGGCAGAATTCTGACTGAAAAAGTACAAAGGTTACACAAAGCAAAATTTGAAACCTGTGAGGCTTATATAGTGCAAGAGAAAGAAAATTTTGTTCTTCAAAAGTTCATTGAGAATTGTGAAGAGGAGAAAGTAATCTTATTTATGTTTGTAGATGTAAAGAAAGTGTTTGATAAAGTGAATAGCTTTCAATTAAGAAACATGTTATGCAAATATGGAGTTGAAGTACAGTAAGGATGGTATATGATGGAAGTAAAACATTCATGAAAATAAATACATTGCTTTTTGAGGGAGTAAAAAAAAATTAAACTGTGCGAATGCTGATAGAAAGGTAGTTGGTAGTTTGAAGTCTGTTGTGAGGAGTGAATATTTGTAAATGAAAATGACTGTGTATAACAGCTTCTACCCACTTCGCTATACAAAAATAAGAGTTTGATATGTCATAAAATTAAACTGAACCCAGTGAGAATGGGATACTTAAGAAGTCAGTTTGGTAAATCAAGACATAATAGGTCAAAAATGAAATGGATGAATGAATGTAAATTGGATATAAAAGTGAGTGACCCATACAAAATATGTGTGGTAGAGAAATTAAGACTGAATAAGCAGATATATGAAGGATGTGTAACTGGGTTAAGAGGAAAGGGAAGATTGAGAAAGTTGTAGTTGGATGAAGTTGAGAAATCTAAAGAACAAATGGGAATTATGAAGCAGTGTATAGATGTAATGGAAACAAGGATAGTTTGCAAGGATAGATAAGTACAGAAAAATATAGTGAATGGTTTGATGTAAATTAGATTTACTTATATTTTCTTTTTCTATCTTGTGCCTTAATTCCTTTGCCTTACTATTTTTTAATCTTCTTCTGCGCTTTTCATAAGGCAACAGTATGATAAGCAGGTACAGGTATTCCTCAGGTTATGTCCATTCATTCAGCAACTGTTCAAAGTTACGGTGGTGCTGAAAAAATGGACTTACGACTGGTCCTCGAAGTTCCAGACATTGCAGCGTTCCCGTGGTCACGTGATTGTGATCCAGGTGCTCAGGTGCCTGGCTCGCGATTACGATGTTGCAGCAAGCTACATCACATGATTGCCATTTGTAACCTTCCCTGCTGGCTTTCCAAAAGCAAAGTCAACAGGTAAGCCGGCAGGGAAGGCTGTAAGTCGCCCCAGTAACTTGCTCCTACCATTTCTCTCCTGAGGAGCTCACTATGGAATACGAGATCCTAGAGATCTGATACTCCCTGCCCGCACTCCATAGCGCATGCAGACTCACAGCTCTCCCACAATCCTGCGACCTCTGCTGGCCCTCCCATGGCCTCCGCTGACCCACCCGCAGCCTCTGCCAGCCATTCCACATTCCCTGGCACCTGATCATGGCACCTCCACCCCCCTTCAGCACCTGCACACACCCCGCGTTCCTTACCACCTCTTCCCACTTAATGACCCACATGTCCTGGGGTTACGATGGCAACCAGGACAGCCATCACTAAGCGATGCAGTCATGCCACGTCAAACTTTACAACTGCATCTTTTATCAATGGCAATCCTGGTCCCAACTCCCATCGTAACCCGAGGACTACCTATATGTATGTGTGTGAATGTACATATGAACACAGGAGAACTGGACCATTTATAACCAAACAACTTACAGCCAAGAAACATAATTTACCCAATCTTACCCAACCCAATTTTGAAATTCCCTTAAGCCTCAAATAGTATGAGAGTTGGATCAACAGAAATGTATACATCTGTAAAGTTACAACATTTCATAAATTAAAAGAAATAACATAATGTGTCTTATAACCCACATTTTAAATGTAAAGGTCTAAATCATTTTTACTCTAACATCACAAGTAATCAATTTTATTTCTTTTAATTTATTATTCTTTCCCATTCTCCTTGGGCTTTGGGGGTACTGGGCCTGAATCCTAAGCCAAGTTAGGAAACCTTCTGCTAAAGTCTTTGTGCATCTGAGGGCCTCTAGCCAATGAGCTACTTGTAAATTCATAATGCTTTGACATCTGCCATCCCAACAAATCAGAACTACTTTCAAAAAGACAAGCTCAGAATTATTGTATGGCCAACAACAACAACAATTCCCCCTGCCCCTTAAGTTTAG